CCCCCCCACAAATATATGCAGCATCATAGTCAGTTTTCAAGTGATAATGACCAGACCTGATACTGTAATCCACCACAAGTGTAGAAATTATGGTTAATCCTCGGGAAACCATCCTCCAAAGAAAATGAGATTAGATCCTACTGGGTATAGTTTATTACATCAATCAATTACCACCACAAGAACTAGGGATTTTAGGAACCAAATAGATATAACACAAACGAATAGCAAAATCAAACAATGTTACTATGGATAAGTTAATTTTCAGCCCTTAAATCAATTTGAAACAACAAGTGAGGGGACACCCTGCGACTGGGAGTCAACAAAAGAGACCACTTTAGATATGGGGCATTCATAAGCTAAAAGCTTCATGTTTGAAATTTTAATCTTTTTATGAGCCAAAAACATGCAACTTCACATCAATATCTTACATAAATGCATTATCATCTTATTGCTAAAATGAAACTAGGCAGAACAAAGAAACAAACAATATCATTAAATTATCAAACCTAACATAGTTACCAATCTTCTCAGCTGACCTACAGGTTCCACACAAAATAAAGAGGTAAACCAATGACAAACATACCACTGTCATCATCGTCGCTGTCCCAGTAAGGAGGCGATGTTGAAGTGATTCCATTCTCCACATGCTCAGAAGACCTCCATTCTGCCAATGCTTCACTGGACCGACAATGCTTCTCCTCAGTCGATATTTCCTCCTTTGACCTTCCTTCCTCGGAAGCAATTGTAGCCCTTCCTATATCCATAAACCCAACAAACTCCCCCAACTTCACCTGTCACAAACTCACAAAGTGATGATGGCCCCAAATGAGATTCGCCAACATAGGTTCTACAGAGTTCAGCACTTCATCTGATCAAGAATCCAATATAGTAAACACCAATATCTCTGAGTTTAAAGGTCTACCGAGATTCAGGCAAAGGGCCTAAACAAAACCATTAATGGTTCAAGTTTTTCGAAGTGCAACAAAAGAACGGGAGAACAGATTAACCAACCCTCCCAGCTCATAAATCATCAACACACTAGCTGCAAATTCAAATCCTTTTCCTCTCATTTACCAATATATTTTGATTCAAACTTGACAGAACACCATATGTGAAGCATAATTTACATACAGGCATACATGAACAAAGATTATTTGAACTCCACGATTAATCAAATTGTGATTGGATTAAAGAAATGGCAAATCAAATAATTAAAATACCAAGCAGAGCTTAAACCCCAGATATTTAATTAAACCCAGAAACATAATGAACATTTAAAAGCCCAAAGTAGAGGATTGGAAATGAAATTATCGACAGAGGGACATTTAAACAAACAAAAGACAGCCCTCAAACAACAAAGAACCGATCGGAAAAGTGTGAAAACAAAAAAGAAAGGGAAGGGCGGATCGGTAAAACGCAGACCTGAAGCAGAGAAGGGAGCTTCGGCAATGGGGAATGAGGGAGAGATTTGGGGAGGTCCAAGAAGCAGCAGAACAGAGGCAGAAACAATCAAAATTGCAAATTTACTTCATTTTATATTTATAGTGCATTTTTAGGTTGCCGGTTTTTTAGTTTTACGGAGTACAACACACACCTACGACTTGACAGCAGCAATAGGATAACGGAATTTAAATGGAAAAAAAAAATGGGTGTGAGGACCCTTTTACATCATTGATCACTGAGAAAACGTAAATTCAACTTTGGTCGTAGATTAGTCACAAAGAAGTGAAACATATTTTTTAAGTTTTATTCTCTTTCTATTTTTTTCTTTTATGTCATTATAGTTTATCTCAAATCGTATTTGTAATTTTTGTATGACTCGCACTCTTTTGTTTACTTTTTAAAATCAGTATCAATCATATAATTTCTCATTTTTTCAGTTGTCTGTCACTAATTTGTGTCCAAAAGCGAAAACAAAAAAAGGGGCATAATAAAAGGCCAAATTCATTCTTGTGAAACTATTACGGAGTAGTATTTTACTTATCGTATGTCTCAAAAATATTAGAACAATTTTTTTAACTTTTTTAAATTTTTTTATTTTACAGAAGTCAAATAGAGAATTTTAATGTAACAAAGGTAGTTTTTATTATATATCCAACATATTTACATTTAAAAATAAACGATATTAATTGTACATTTATTATTTTGCATTTGTTTAGACCTTGCATATTAAAAGTATGTACTAGTGTAATGCTTAGTGAAAGAAAATAGAGTGCACAGTTATTATATTTTGGTCAAAATTAAAAAAAAAAATGACAAGAACACATTTCAAAGAAACATAGTTAACGAAAATTTTAAAGTCACAAAGAAAATTATAAATTAATTAATTTAAAATTTTAATAATTTACATGACTCGGTAACTAAATTTTATATTCATGACACCATTTTTTAATAAACTACTCCGTATTACAATAATATCATTTTTTATTTTATTGAGATAATAATAACATATAAAAATAAACGTAAATGATTTTTTTAAGTCATTGTTGGAAGAAACTGGAACGAATCAGAAAAACTGGAAAGAATTAGAAGAAACTAAAACAAGTTCGAGAGAATCGAAAGAAATTGGAAAAAAATGAAAATAGTTGGAAGAAAATAGAAAGAGCTACAAGAACTTAGAAGGAGCTAGAAAATGTTGAATGTTAAGAGCTAACGCTAAAAAGAACGGAGTCTAAGTGGTATCGTCAAATTTGACTTTTTTAGTTATACTAAACAAATTTCAATCTTTAGTTAAAATAAATATTGAGAAAAAACTCATAATTTAACTTGACAAAGAGTTTGAGAAAAAATGAAAATGTATGGTTGTAAGTGATATATAGGCACATAATAGCTAATAAATAGATTAAATCGTTATAAAATATTTTAAAACCTAAATGAATCGAATATTTTTAGACGAACCGAATATATTTAAACGAATCAAATTTTTGAACGAACCGAATATGTTTAATATATTAAACAAACCAAATATGAATCTTAAAAAATATTCGAACCGAATTCGAATTCGAATATCACTTTATCTTAACGAATACAAATATTATCCATAAATATTCAATTCGATTCGATTCGTTTACAACCCTAGTCGCAAGTTTAATCAAAGAGAAAAAATCAGAAGAAAAGAAAACTAGCACCTGATAAAGTAGAAAACAAAACCTAGCACATTAAGAAGAAGAAAACACAAATAACATTAGAAGACAATAACTCTTCTTTATGATACAAAGCCAAAAAACATACATTGAGACGAATATGAAGATGTTGACGCAGAAATATCTCTCGAACCACCAAAGCATTGTACCTTAAAGACAGGAGACTCCCACATAACACAACAATGGCATCAATGGCATCTGAAACTGATGAGTTTCTGTTTAGCACAAGGGATCCCCTGCCTTCAATGGCATCTGAAACTGATGAGTATCTGTTTAGCACTCAGTACATAGAAGAAGCTAAGGATTTAGATTTTGAGGAAGACGGGTAACTTTCCTTGTGAAGTGTCCTCTTCCCGGTTGTGCTGGTTTAGCATCTGGTTTATGTTTAGTGAACCAGGTGGAATACAGAAATTGCTTGTTTGGACCTATGTGATTGCATATAAGCTTAAGCTTCTGTCTATCCCTCATCCATCTTAACACTACCTTCATGTGCCTTTTGCTCGTTAACCCTCTCACTCCAACTTCCTGTATTTTGCAAACCAAACAAGAAACCCGTCAAGTGATGCCTAAGCAACTTGTTCGTATGGGTAAACATAAGAATCTAAAGGCCCGTCTGTCGAGCAAAACAAGATTGATATGTTATGGGATTTGAAATCTAGAAGAAATGATGCGAGTTTTGAAATATGAAAGGAAAATATTTGGAGAGATTTGAAATCTGATGTGATTGATAGATTGTTATGATACGAAAAGGGGCTGTCTCCGAGCATGGCATGCTAATTCAGTTCATATAGATTGGATTCAAATAATTAGAGCAAACCAATTTCTCACATTTGATCTTCTCAATTTGTAAATGCATCATAGTATACTTTGTATATCTTTAAGACAACAATTAAGGTATTATACTTGCATGTTCATATCATGCTAAGCTATCTTTATTTTTCTTTTAAAGACCTTGTTCCTTCCTTAATACATGTGCACAACCTTAGAAAATGAAATGGGGGAATTGATTACCTTGACATGTTCCCAGGTATCACCAATGGTGAGAGGACCATGTTCCTTCAAAATGTCAAAAATAACCCTCGTTATAGTTTGTGTCTGCTCTGGTGGGGTTTTTAGCTCTATAGGCTTCATCTTTGGCTTCGGCTTCCTCGCCACCATATACCTTATCATTGTCCCAAACATGATAGGTCCTCTCCAGATCTAGAGAAAACCAGTTTAACGGCTTGAACTTTTTTGATGAAGCTCAAAGTTCTATTTGTTCACTCTTATAACCTAACAAATAACAGTTAAATGTGCATTAAAAGACCATTCAACCACTCATGATTAAGATATTTGGCAATAAAAATGTCAAAGGTGGTGTGACTATACAATAGTGTAGAAATAGCCCATGGATTACAGATCATAATCATCATATACTTGAGTTACTGAATTGAAATGCATGAGTAGTTGATAAATTTGGCCTCTTTTTTTTTATCGGAGGGGTTCCCATGACATTGGAACCCCATGTCATGGGATGATCCGTTTATAAATGTCTGAATGCTCTAGATATTATGAACATTAACATAATGCATTCAATACTTCAAGGGATTCTTTGAAGCACAAGCATAGTTCTTACACATCCCTTAAAGAAAACTACACCAATCTTGTTGCCATTATGTGAGCATAAACACACTTATTTACTACCATCATCACCACCCCAAAGAAAATCTTCTAAGTACAACAAGGTAATCATCTCAATCACGATTCACGACTATCAACTAAATACAAGATGAGGAAAGAAGAACACATCATGCAAAAGAAACAAATCTAGCTAGAGTACCCAAAAAATTGGGTTTAGTATTGAACAAAAAAACACCAAATATTTCTATGTTGAATGAAGTGTGAATAAAAAACACAGAATCAGCATCTGAAATGTGACCAAACAAATGAAAGCCATTAACACATCATTTTCTTCAACACATTTTCAATGTGTCTTCAACACTTAGGGGTTGTGTATTCAGACTTTAAAAGATAATGTCATATTTGTTATAACCCATGGATTGTTTTAATTCTACATGGACTTGGATAGATTTAAATGTATTGTATTATCAAGATCTGTTTAGATTCTATAGGTACATAGATTGTTCCAACACCATTAATTGATTGCAAATGTACTAAAATAATTGAATATTACTCAGTATAAAATAAAATAATAATGACTTGAAACAAAAGAGTTTAACACAAAATAATATATTGATCATTGTCATAAGCAACAAAAATTTTAGCAACCAAAATAATTATTATCTCTAAATTATTTTTATATATGTAAAAATGCATCTATCAAAATGTAAAGACAACCAAAAGAACATGTTACCCAAAATGCAAAGACAATTTAAAAAAACATAATAAAAAAGCATAATCCTTCATTCAACCTCATTATCATCATAACCCTCTTGATACTACTCATCCCTTCGTTCCTCATTATTTTCATTTCCATTGTCTTGATTTCCATTGTTATCCTCCTGGTTTTCATTATCATCGTTTCGTGGTGTATCCGCTCACATAGCTTTAGCAATGCCATTTTGTGAAACAATTTCTTTGGATGTGACCTTTCCCTATTTGCGATATTAATTACTCCATACTCCGTATTAATTTCAAACTCCACATCTATAATTGTAGGATGTAGACAGTGCTCACCAAATAAGTGGAACCACGTAGTAGTGTAGTACGTACACTCAATCGACCGTGTTTTACAATGGGCTGTCTCTGATTTCTTTCACATTCTAGGAGGAGGATATCACGTTATATGAGCTCATAATCAAGCAGATCCCAATAGTCCCTGATGGTATGCCTTGGCATCTTCATTTCTCCATTTAACTGTAGCAGAGTTGTATAAATTCCCTCAAGCTGAGGGTGAAATCCATCCTCAGAATTGAAGACATAAGCTCTATTGTCTACCTGAATCAAGCTCTGGCCTGGATTCTTTTTAACACCTATATCCCTCATGAGTACCCGTGTTTCTCTAGCTTCAGCCCACCTACTATGAGAAGCGTATAAGCCAGATAGAAGTGAATAATTCCCACTGTGATTGGGCTCTACCTTAAGTAGATGTTTTAGAGCTCGCTCCCCAAGTCCAATATTGCCTTGGTTCCTAGATGCAGCAAGAAGTGATCCCCAAATAGCTGCATTTGCTTCAAAGGGCATTCTTTGACAGAGGTTTTCAGCCTCTTGAAGACGACCAGCACGTCCTAAAAGATCAATGGCACAGCCATAGTGCTTAATGCTGGGTCTAATTCCATGCCTCTCTTCCATTGTATGGAAGTACCAGTAACCCAATTCAACGTAACCAGCATGGCTGCAGGCAGAAAGCACAGCGATTAAAGTCACGTCATTGGGCCTAATTCCAGCCCCTTCCATTTGAGAAAACAGGTCAAGAGCTTCACTTCCAAGGCCATTGGTAGCCAAACCAGAAATCATAGTTGACCAGGTTACCACATTTTTTTCTGTCATACTCTCAAAAAGTTGTATAGCCCTGTTCATGCTCCCTGATTTAGCATACATATCAATGAGAGCATTATTAAGACGTATAGTTTTTCGCAATCGATGTCTCTCAATGTAACTGTGAATCCACTCCCCTAACTCGAGGTTACCCAAATCTGCACAAGCCGAAAGGGCAGCCGTCATGGCTACCTCGTCAGGCTCGACTCCATTTGAATCAGCCATCATTCTCCTGAAAAGAGAAATAGCCTCATGAGACTGGTTCCTTTGAGCATATCCAGCTAAAATAGTAGTCCAAGAAACAATATTTCTCCTGGACATGTGCTCGAACAATGACATTGCAGCTTCCATATCACCAACCTTGGCGTAGCCCGCCATCATAGCATTCCACAGGGCCGTATCCGGTTGCACCATTTCATCAAACACCTTTCGGGCATCCGAGACAAGCCTACCTGCAGAGTACATACGGACCAGCGACACCACCACATGGATGTCACAACTCAGCCCTGCTTTAACAGCCTCACAGTGAATCTGTCTGCCCGTAAATCTCAATCCACAATCGATCACAACGGCATTCAACACAAAAGGGATTGAATAAGTATCGAGTTTCAAACCTAGCTTCCGGGCTCTATTGTGGAGGTTAACGGCAAGTCTGGTTGAACGCGGATGGCGAGCGAGTGCGTCAATTGCTGTGTTGAATAGGTACCTATCCGGGCTGGGAGCAAGGAGAGCCGAGCAATACACATAGTCGGATAACCCTAAGGAGGAGAGAACACAAATAAATCTATTCAGAAGAATGTTATCGTAATCCAGAGCACGGACGACCATGTAGCAGTGGGCTTGACGAATATGCGCTGCATTTGAGCATTGTTTCAGCAGATGCAGACAGGGTTGCTCTAATGGCGGATCGCCGGAGGCCTTAAGGTGAAGGCATTTATGATTTTTCAGTAATGGTAGTAGTGGCCGGGAAGCAATTTCACGGCGGCTCAGCTGGGTAAGCACCATCACAATCTATATTCAATGAAACTCTTTGAAAATTTGTGGAATTTTCAATACCATTAGATCTAGACGATTACTTTAAAATCCTAATTCAATACACTGAGGAAAGATGATGTTTAGTTGCATGTATAAGAAAACTAAACATGATTGAAGAAATACACTTACTGCCCAACGTTAAAAAAAAAGGATAATTTGAGGCAGAAAGAGTGAGAGACTTCGAATTTATCAGTTTATGCAGCAAAGATTGGAAAGAAAGACAAATATCAACAAGAATTTCACGGTTCATTGAAAGATATGAAATATTTGTGAAGCACCGAGAGGTCACACCTGAGAAATTGCTTGGAGGTCAACCGGACACCGGAGTGGAGAAATAACGGTGATTTGCACAGGCTGCTGTGGCGTTGGGAAAGAAAGGTTAGGCTTTAATTTTGAGGGCTAGAGATATGATCATAGTTACATAGCATTCAAAATAATACGATTAAAAATGATGATGATGATCATAATAATAATAAGAGAAAATATATCGTTTATCCCTGAATTTTCAGTAATTGCATGGTCTATACCTAAATACTAAAATGTGTCTCAAATACCGCTGAATTCTTTGAAAATTGCATGTTTTATTCTTGCACATTGAAAAGTGCATTAAATACTTCTGAACTCTTCAGAAATTGCATTGTTTATCCCTGAACATTTAAATAAAGATGATAATATTGGTGAAGGGTACTTTGGAAAATTCACAATGGATATATGAATCATACTCACAATTCCCGTGTTTGGGAGCAACGCACTCTCTATCTAGCATTTTGGGACCAACAATGCAACATTTTAAAATATTCAGGGGTATTTGGTATATTTTTTTAATATTCAAAGGTAAATCATGCAATTTTTGAAGTGCTCAAGGATAGTAATAATAATAATATTAATATTAATAATAATATTAATAATAATATTAATAATAATAATAATATTAATATTAATAATAATATTAATAATAATAATAATAGGAGCAAAAAACTTTGTAGTTCAAATTAACAAATGTCCAAAGTTCACAAATGTCCAAAGTTTACGATAAAGTTTATCTAAGAGTAAATTCTAAAAATAGTCCTTTCTAACGAAATGTTTTCTCACATCACTCTTTGATAAGCTTTAATTATTAAAATGGTACTTTCTATTTGAGATTTATTTCCTAAGTAGTCCTTTATAAAAAGAATTACTTAAATGGTGATTGATTGGATCGGAGAATATTTTGATTTTTCTATTACATAAACTTAAAGTAAATTCTCAATATAGTCATTTCTAAATAAATTCATACAAAATTAAAACAATAATTGACTATACATAATTCATTAATTATTAAAAATCTCACAATATTTTAAAATTTGAATAAAATACACGTCCTTAATTAGAAATGACAATTTTGGAAAGACAATGATAAATTTGAGAACTTACTCTAAGTTTAAATGCTAAAAATACCAAAATATCCTCCATTTAATTGAGATTTAAGTACTCCGTAACATTTTTTACGAAGGATTATTTAGTGAATAGATCTCAATTATAAAGTACCATATAGATAATTAAACTTATCGAGTATTAATTTGAGAAAAATCTCATCAGAAAAGACCATTTTAGAAATTACTCTTTATCAAAAAATAAAATGTTTTGTATTTTTAGCTACAAAAAATTACTCTCGGACGACATAAGTTTTGTTGAAACAATTTGCATGTCCCTTTATTTTTAAAAAGATATAAAGGATCCTTAAATTTTACGAAGTACTGTAATTACTGGGGGAGGAAATTACATCCACTATTACCTCCACAAGCATTAATAGATTTTATTTTCCTATTTTGCTCTTAATGATTTATGGTAATAACTCTTAAGAAGTATATCACAAAAAAAATGAACCATATCATCTAGAGTTTCTTAGCCCTTGTCTTGATAGAGGAGTTAAATCACATGATATATGTCAACTGGCTAGAGGCAACGGGCTTGCCACAACTAACTACACTACACAAGGGAATAAACTCAAAGAGTTGCCTTCAGGATTCGAACCACCACTCTGTAGATCGCTCGGAAGGCACGCAATTCGCCACCCAATGCCTTTGCTCGTTGAGCTATGCCTCATGGCACAAAAAAGATGTAGAGAATGAAGGAGACTTAGTTATGGAGTAATCGAGTACTTCCCTCTTGTGCTTTAGTGGCATTAAAGTGATTCTTTGAAATGGGAGATCAATCTCCAAGAGGCAATAACTCTTAGTGCTTAGCGACATTAGTTTTTCATGATAAAATAGTTACAACAATAATAGTCTAGTAGGGTACTTTTCACTCAACAAACATGAATAACTAAAAAACACAAGAATTAAGATCAATCTCCAAGAGGCAATAACTCTTAGTGCTTGAATGAAGTTTCACAAATGAGCATCATCCATTGATGTTAGAGATCACATTTGCTTGTCAAGTCCTTATAAACACTGAATCTATAAACAACTCAACCTTTTTCATCATCCTACACCTTAATCCCAACACTAAGTTGGGATTTGACAGATTTGTGACATGAAGTTTACACTCACTTACAAATTACAAAGTCTAAAATTAGCCCACACTCTAAATTCATGCATGAAGCATGAAGAAAGAAAAGAAAAAAATACATAACTGCACTTTGGGTCAAGCCAATTTAGCACACTACTAAAAGGCATTGTAAATTTGTAACCATCATCCATAGTTATCTACCTAGACTTACAAGAAGTTAACGTGGTGGCTGTGCATAAAACTTCATCCATCTTGAAAAGAAGGTCCAAGATGCAATTGACACTCCCTATACTCTTCAAAGTCTAAGCTACTCGTACAGTCCAAGAAAGCATTCTGCTGCTGTTCATAACGACATATGTAATTCAGTCCAACAAGCAGTTCGCAGACAACTTCCTCAGTCTTGTCAAGATCAGCAAAATACAATGTTTGGAGCAATAGAACATTCGTCCTATCGATAACATGATGCTGTTCATAGTTGCGCTCAGTTTGCCAGCTGATCATGTTATGCGCCAGTGGGGAAAGCCAGTTCAGGATTTCCTCTAGCCTCTGCCTCCATCTGTACGCAACGGGCGCATCATATATCTCCAAATTCTTCATATATGGTTTCAGTTTAGTCTTCAACTTCTTTCTCAGACTCTCCGGTAACATCTGGTATAAATCATCCCTGGCTTCGTCGCCGATTAAATGTGGGTATTGAAGAAGCTTCTGCAGAACAATAATGATGTTTGCATAGTGCAATGCCAGAGCAGAACCACCGACGGTTGAAGGAAGAGCAAAGAACTTTAGTCTGCTTTTGGGTCCAAATCTTGCACTGTTGCCAACAACCTTAGAGGTAACACTACTTAGCAGTTTGCTCGGAAAACTACTGAATCCAGAAACCAGACTGGTATCATCGATTTCTTCATGCTTCGGAGAGGAACTCAAAGTTAAACACTCCATGAGTCCGATTCCACATGCAAAGTTGAAGTCTTTTGGACTAAATAGCCCGCCACCGTGGCTCCTCCCTACACTTCTTTCACTACTACTAGGTCCTCCTGAGGGACTGAATCCATTTCTCTTCCTCAAAGCTGGTCTTACCAAATCAACAGTGGTGCATTCCACGCCGCCAATCTGACTGGAAGCCCTCCTCACGATTATTTCTTGGGAAACAGTACTGATTCGCGCATAGACCGTACACACAGTCCTAGCTAACAATTCCACGACCTTATCGTAAGTCTGATTCCAAAGAGAAACATCCTTCAAATGCCTCACATCCTGCTTCTGCAAAGCCAACTTCTGCTCACAAGCTTTCCAAGCCTCCTCATGATGATTCTGTTTGAACTTGGCCGTAGTGGCTTCCAGTTCATTCATTGCCTCCATCTCAGTGTACAATCTAGAAGTACAGCTCACATATCTCTCCATCTTCCTTATCATCCCTTCCATATCCTTAACCAAAAATTCCAACTCCTTCACATCAATAGCCCCAGCAGTTATATCCCCATAGACATGCACAAACCCTTGCAACGCCGGGATTGTGCATTTCCTCCCTAACCTAGACACCATACCAGCAACCCTATTCAAATCATCCATTTTCTCAACTAAGGCTAACTCCATAATCTTAACTTCATCATCAGATACCAGGGTTCTTATCCCTATGGAATTCAAGATCTCACTCTTCAGCCTAACAATCTCATGGTCACTCAATGATCTGTGCAAGTGAATGATCATAGACATCACATTAGCAACTTCAAAAGAGAGTATACCTAACAATGGCTTCCCGTCACTCTTCTCGGACGATTTCTTCGAATTCTCCAGAAGCAAAGCCTGCTTGACATTGCTACCGACCTGATTTCCCATCCTCAACAGCCAAGGCTCCGCCACCATTTCCGCTCGCGTCCCCGGGGCTGAACTTGTAAGCGACCGCGATCTCCACGATTCTCAATGATTCCGTGCCGAGGAAAGGGGAAACAGCTCTGATAATGGCGGATCGCGCATGGCCTGAGATGCAGAGAGAGATGTGGAATCGATGATTACCAGCTTCGGACAATCTCCGACACAAGTGCAGCAGAAGTGGGAGGAAAGCAAAGGGACATGTGGAGAGCTTTTTGAATGTGATTTTTCTTTGGCAATGATTTCTTTGGGGAAAAGGTGATGGCGGATTTGAGAAGGTATTGACAGTGGGGGCAAGCAAGATGGTGGAGGAGGAGGCATTCGTGAAAATCTCAAAAAATCAGGTATAAGTGGTGAAGAGTGTGTGACTTTTGAATAATAATAATAATAATAATAATAATAATAATAATAATAACAATAATAATAACAACAACAATAATAATAATAATAATAATAATACTAATAATAATAATAATACCTTCAAAATAATAATAATAATAATAACAATCCCTTCAAAATAATACGGAGTAATAAGCGTCGTCGTCGTCATTGTAATACTAACTCTGTTTCGAAATATTTGCCACATTATGCAAGACAAAGTAAATTTAAAGTTTTTATAACTTATTTAATTTAAAGATTCATATAGAGATAAAAAAGAAAATTTACATTTTTAAACACTAAGTCAAAAGTTCTCCGAAACAAAAAGTGACAAGAAATATTTAATTTTATGAATTAATTGATGAAAAGTTGAAAACATAAAAATAAATAATAGCAAATTGTGGTATTTTTTTATACGGGCAGAGTAATAATAATAACAATGACAATAATGATGATACATAAATTTTATTTATAAATTTTGCATTAATACAAGTAATATTTAAGAATTTTAATAAAAATAATAATTTTAATCAAATATCATCGATAGAGGTAGTAACTTGTTCACAATGTTTATATAGTACGGAGTACTTTATAATTGGGGTGTCTTAGAAAATATCTTAAGTTTACGGATTTATTTTTTTTTTGAAGGAGTTTACGGATTTATTCTTTTCGCTTTTATTTTAATTGAAATATAAAGTTTATAGATTGGGATTTTAAATTTGATATTCAAAAAGAAAATGAACATCATCAGTCTCTTCCCTTCAAACGTAGTCGTGATAGTTATTTGAGAGTAGGCCCATTTTTAGCACATTTTCTTAATTAAATCTAATGAAAATTAATGTATTTATTGAAAGAAATGGATAAATTTATTCTATTCCATAATTAACTGTGTCCATATAACAATTTATTTTCTTTTTCTGCTTTTTTTTTTGAAAAAAGAAAATATTGTTGTTTTTAGTTGTGTTATTTTCCAACGTTTTAAAATTTCAAAAAGGAGGAAACGTGGAAAGCTTTAAAAAATACTCCCTCCATCCGAAAATATTCTTCCCACTTTTCTTTTTGGTCCGTCCAGAAATATTCTTCCCATTTCCTTTTTTAGCATGCTTTTTAATAAGGATAAATTTTAATAATACCCTTCTATTTTATCACTAATCTACTTTTTAGTACTTTTTTAATAATAAAAAGAGATTTAAAAGTTTATAGTATGTGCATTTTTGAAAATTTTGTATTTTTTTACTATTCCTTAATAAGCGTGCCAAGTGAACACGGGAAGAGTATTTCCGGACGGAGGGAGTAAAAAAAAGGGAATTTTGAAGTCAAACCCCCAAATGAACGCTACCCACACGCTTCGTTTTCAACCAGAGTTGACATTTCATTTCTCCTTTCCATTTTCGGTTAGTAAATTACGGAGTAGTCTTCTAAAAAAAGTTCTCTCATCACCATACTTAATCAACTACGGAGTATTTTCAAATATTATGTTCGTTTTATTAGTGGACATCTTTCTGCAAGTAGTCATTCGTTTTACTTTTTCTAGCATAGGCTTCACATCTGTCTCGCCATAGTTGTTGTCAGAGGTCGCTGCTGATGTGTCATTTGACAACATAAGTCATTGCTCATCGCAATCATAGTCCATTGTTGGCATCGCTGGTTAGAATTTGGGTCTGCACTCATAGCTTTTGTTATTGTATTGTTCGTCAAGCCAACCTCATAATACATGACCAGACCTAGAGATTAGAGTTGATGTGAATGAAATATTCGTGGAAAGTCACACGTAAAGTCAAACAAAGGACTATTGATAGAAAGGTATCCACTAACGTTATGTTTACCAATATAGTACCATATGTGGAAATTTTTAATTTTAAAGAATTAATTATAGAATTTATTTGTTTAGGTGTAACATGTGATGAGCAGCATATAAAAAGAGAATTCCATACCAAATTAACATATAATACTTCACATAAAAAATGTTATACTTAATTATTACTTACATTAATTAATTTACCAAAATAGTATTAGAACATAATGACGTTTCCAATATTGTACCATATATTTTTATTTTCCAATGTAGTACAACTGGTCATTGTCCACTGGTCACTGTTGACAGACATTGTTCAAACTAAATATCCACCATTACTGAACATTTTTTCTGCTACTAGACATTATTCAAGTAATATGTAAGGAATAAAAAGTTTAAGTATTACATTGTGAAATGACATATTTTAGTACTACTTCCGTCCCAGTGTATTTGTCCAGTTTGACTTTTTCGAGTCAAACTAGACAAACTTTGAATTCTAATTACTCTCAATTTATATTGAATATTAGCATAATGAAATACAATTTTGAAAGTTCTCAATACGATAAATCTAATAAAGTCATTTTTATATTAAAATATATTACGATTTTTATTTAATTGAAACTCAAAATTTATCTAATTTGACTCGAAAAAATCAAACTGGACAAATACACTGAGACGGAGAGAGTACTATTTAATGGAAATTTCACTGAATTAAGCATAAAAAGTACGAAATACAATTTTTCATAATACGAAATCGTTGATTAAAAATTCTCCGTATAAAGATGAAGAAACATGGTCATATTGCTAATGATGTCTATTGACATCATCAAAATTGAAGCACATTCCCTTTTTCAACATGCTTGGAGTTTGATCATATCAAAACTTTGATCACATCCATGGCCAAATTATTGTTAATTGACTCTCGTGAATTTCTGAGATATAATCATTATTCTCGTTTCATTATGTGATTGAAAGATTTTAATTCATTAGAAGATGTTTCCATACCTTTTCAAAATTGCCTTTTCAAATATACATTGTCTTCATTGGAATTGATCATTTTTGGGAAAAAGTAATAAAAATCACTTTTTGAGGAGGTAAATAAAAAACTACTACCATACCTCCTCATTTTACCTCCTCCGTTGGACGTTGGAGTTGATCTTAGGAGTAAAATCATGAACAAGAGTTTTAATTACTTCAATGACCTTTGATTGGCATAGTCCCCACAAGGCTTTCATACTCAATGTATAACATGGAGTAACACATAAATCAAGTCAAAGTCTTTCTTTCATACGGAGTATTTAATTTGGAGCTCCGTGACATGCAAGTGTTCTTATAGGTATCAAGAGTGGCCACGTAGATATGTTATACTTCCTCCGTCCTGCTATATTCGTCCACTTTTGACTTTTGGAACTGTTTATCTATGTACTTTGACTCATCAAATTCTCTCAATGTGTAACCTAAATATAATCATGTGTAATCTTGTTTGATTTATCTTAACATATACGGAGTATATTATTAATATATAATTTTTTTATAATTTTTTAATATACAAATTACAAGATAAAATGGATTAAAGAAGTGTATTGGATAGTGTGTAAAAATGAAAGTGAACAAATACTCTGGGACAGAGGTAGTATGTAGTTAAATCTTGAAAAAAGTAATCAAATTTTTTTAGTTTAAAGAAGGTACTAAATACATCAGAGTATCATACTTTCTCTCGTACTTTCATTTCATTTTAGGCGTCATTAAACAATGTTAACATATTTTACCCTTTGTTTTTCAATACAAAAAAAAAACAAAAAAATAGAGTTCACAATGAGAAGAATTTTTTTCCCCTATATAATCATATTTTAAAAAATTCCTTCAAGTATATGTGTCAACTTTATTTTCGGATGAAGGAAGTGATGCACATCGGGCCTTGAGGATAAAAAAGATTGGCCCAATTTGCTATTTGGAATGCCTATGCGGTTCGGGCCTAATGAAGTAATAAGATATGGCCCGGGTACGTACTGATTGGGTTGATGGAAACGGAATTGGGTCTAGGCTATTTGATGACCAATTTTTCTGCTCGAAATGGTTGCATGTCAGACCAATAATGACGAGAAAACATGACACGATTACATCTCATGTACGTCGTATGCTCGTAGCATGTAGACTATAAATAGAGAGTAAAACCTTCATTGCATCCCAAGCTAAATTAAGTCAATAAAAGTGTTACTGAGATTTTATTTCTAAAAGTTTTATTATCATTCTTCGTGAATTCAAAACAATCAGGATGAATGATCATTTATGATTTAACTAGCAAAAAGTTTTACACTGGTACATAATAGTGTGCAGGACAAGATTTTACATTAATATGTGCCGGCGTATAATGTGGTGGCACTGTGTACATCGTGTACATCAAATTCAAAAAATGTGCCCCATTTTATTTCCATTTCTAATAAATGGATTGGTTGAAAAGTCCTTTTTGAATTTGAACAAAACAGTAATCAAAATGCCTTAAGGACGCCGCAACCATGCCTGTGCCATTGCTACGGAGTACAACGCATCTCACACTTGACAAATGATTAGGTACTTATTAGGGTTCTAAACGAACTAAATTGAAGCGAATATCGAGATTTTTGAATTTGCGTTTGTTTTATTTTTCTGAATATGAATACAAATATGAAACGAGTTAAAAATAAGACTCGTATTTTTATTTGATTAATATTCAAATACTTAACGAATCCTAATGAATATTCGAATAGTCATCCTCCGTAATTTATATGATGAACCAACACTGACTTTGAAAAATTAAACTTACTATATTTATTATACTATATCGGAAAATATTAATACATTTGCGTCTTATACAAATTACTCCGTATATGTTACATACAACATAACTGTTGAAATTTATACTTCGCTATAAAATTCACGTGAGATGATAATTTTAACTTTGAAATTGGTAGTAAATTTATATGATTCTTTAAATCTTTTGCAGGTTGATAATTACTTGTAAAAGATTGAATTTGACACCACCAATGGAGATGTTCTAAATTTTAATGGGCTGCTTCAATTTGACGATTAAATATAGTACTCCGTACTTGCAAGAAATTAGTGACATACTCTGGTATTCTTTAGATGTGTGAGAAGTTATACATAGATCTAAATATGCTATGACCCACCAATGAAAAACATACAAACCTTTGACTGGAATGACTTTCTTTAATATAAAGTTTCATTCCGAGTGATCTATAGTATCGATCATTTGTAATTATGTCTATATCCGAAAAAATTTATTGAGCTATATACATATATATTATTGCACTTTTTTATATACTGGATACTTCCAATATCTTAGTGTTTATAACGAATTTGAGATAAATAACATCATGACCTTTTTGGGTCAAAGATAAACTTCAGTGGGCTTGATGTTGAGATGTGGTGAAGCACTAATCTATTACAAATTGAGTACTAATCAACATCTATAAAATTAGTGGGCAACAACTAACAAGTGTAAAGCCAAATATTGTGTTAATCACGCAATTGCCTTTTGAAATGAAAAGGGCAACCTTTTTTAAACAAACATGGAGTAAAACTTTTTTGACCCATGCAGTAATCATACTAAAGTTTGCCGATATGTATAAACTTTTTACAAACAATCACTCTCTTCATGTCACATAAGATTTGAAATTCGAAATTCTAAAATTTTGAGGTAAAAAAAATTAAGATCTGAAATTTTGAGGTTAAAACTTAAGAGCACATTTTTCATACTTCATCCCTAAAAATACTTTTCACAATTAATTTTCCACGATCTCTAATATTACACTTTAACCATTAGTGAAATTTGCACTGAATTGGACTAAAACATAAATCATTTCTCAATGTAGAACTTGAATTTTTTTATTCTCTAAATAGGACTTAATAATGACAAGTGATGCTGGATATTTAGTTGAATAATGACTAATAAACAATGACTAATGGTCCTACATTAGAAAATAAAAACATATAGTCTTATATTGAGAAAGTCAGTATGTTTTAGTACTATTTAAGTAAATTATCTTAACCATTAATAACTATATTTATACATAGATATATTTTATAGAAATTTGATATTTGAAAATTACGTTTTAATAAGATTATATTAATATTAAAATTATATTATAGGGGGTGGGTTTACTAGCATTTCAATTCCAAAATTTAAATTTTTAAATTTCAAAGAACAAGAAGAGATATATGAATTTTAAATTGGGCTTTGTTATGAACTAGAGAAATTCAAATCAAATCTAAACTCTAAATTTTTAAGTTTCCTAAACAAAAAATTTGAGCCAAATTCAGATTTGAAATCCAAATCCAAATTCTCGAATATACCATTTTAAATCATTTCAAATTTTGTTTTATTTCCATTTTATTCCTTGTCAGTAATTACCTGGATTTAATTCGATATGTCTAGAACAGGAATTTTCAACTCCTTCCGGGGAAAAATAGCTAGAATCGAGAAACATTTGCATTATATGTACTCTCGCCCAAATTACGCAAATGAAAATGAAGAAATGAAGCCTAAAAGCAAAGAGGAATTACACGAATTAGGATTATACACATCCAGATCTGAGATCATCGATCGTTGCTTCCAGTACAGACGAACTTCACTAGCGGAGCCGGATCGAAGCAAAACGGTGCGGCCGGATGATTCCATTCCTTGACCGCCGCCGCGGTCGCCGTCGCCGAAGGCTTCTCCGCCTCTCTCTCTGCCTCCTTCTCCCGACTCGAATTCGAACACAATTCAACCGCTGCCGTCAAATCGCTAGAAACAGGCGATGTGATCAATGGCGATAGAAGCGGTATTGCCACATTCCAATCCGTGGCGCGATTAATCTGGATCGACGCCGGGGCTTTCCTCTGCAACCGGCCGGGCTGCCGCCGTCGGTCATCCGGTGATTTTTTCGTATTCTCCGCCATCGTAAGGGTAATTAATAGTAATATACGATAGGAAAAACGTATTTTGATTTGGATGTGTAACGGAGATTAGGAGAAGACGTGCGGTTGAAGCGCGTATATATATGGCCATGTGGTGTGCACGTTGGAAGTGGGGCTGAGAGGGGCAATTTAGGAAAAATCGCCACGAGATCCAGTCAATGGTCAAGGGAACTAACTTTTGTAGTGGAAATGTGGCATTAATATTTTACTATTTTTATGGTGATTTATTTTTGTCACTTAGCGGATATCCCATTCTGTTTTGCAGGTGTGTGTGAAATTCTAATAAAAATTACTATAAATAAGACTAAAATATAGAGAAAAGTATCTAAATAGAATTTTTTTTCTGAAATAGGATTTTGCACTGTGATAATGTGGTACTATACATGTACACATTACTATATTTTTTTGGTAATGTACATGACCATGTTTGATAATGTAAGTCATATTTCGGGAATAAAAACATGAATGTCTTATTTTAATATATTTTCAATGTTATAATCCTACTTTGGTTTTTCTCCCAAATTCTAAGTTTTTGGCCATGTATCCAAGTAGATATTATGTGAGTTAAGTTTTATTCGAATATTGCGGATGCTTGTATATGTTGAATGCACTATAATGTTAGAATATACACTTTTTCTAATACCAAATAGTCTTAGAGATTTGGTAACACGTGATGTTCAACAAATGGTATCCGAGTCAAAGTCATGAGTTCGATTTCCAACGGGATCAAAGGTTGAGGAAAAGATTGTTGACCATGCGTGTTTCAATTGTATTATGGCGAAGGCTATGAGCTATTGTGTATATTGAATGTATTATAAAGCTTTTTGGGTTTAGAAAAATTGGTAATGCATGAAGCCTTACGTTTCATAATCGATTTTTGACCGGAGTAGTGTAAAAATTTTACCCAATATTCTCTCTATTACAAACTAAATTCTTTTTTGAACGACATGCAAGATCTTATAATTTTTTAAATGGTTTTATTTCGAAATTAGTATGGAAAAAAATAAAATTTATACATCCCGTTTTTAAAAATTGCAACAAAAGTTCTACAAAAATAGAAACCATTTATGAAAATTAATTTTATAATAATAATAATAGTAATAAAAATAATTACTATATCTACTCTCTTTTGGCTAAATTCTCCCCATTTATGATAAATTGAGAATTTATTCTTAAAAATTGGTTTATATCTAAACTTCATGTTTTGCTTTTTGAAACATAAAATTGTCAATTTATCATTTTTGCCAACAAAGAAGTAGATTTAGTAACACCCTAATAATAAATGTAATGAGTGTTTATTTCATTTCATGATTGTCCAAGTGTGATTATTGTTGGTTCTTTGACCCTTATGTCATCCTTTGATTACATTTTCATTTAAATTCTTTGTAGTTCTTTGAATATGGTGGTCTCTTCCTTAGCTAAGCATGTAGAGAGCAGCCACAATTGTGTCCCTTCCCTTAACATATTCTCAATTTTATTGTAAAAATTTAATTAAGGAACTTTAAATTATTGAACTGGTGAAACAATGAAGTATTTGAACCCTTTATTAAGTTATTAAAAAAACGAAATCCCATTTAGTTCATTAGTTTAAATGTGTTGTGAATCATCATTTTATCAGATCTTATGTCAATCTAAACTAGGGCTGGATTAGGAAAATTGAAAACCGTAAACCGAACCGATACCATTCGAGACGAGCTTGGAAAAAAATCAAACCGAAAAAATTGAAATCGAATGTAAAAATACCAAACCTAACCGTTGTTGTTTGGTTTCCATTTTGGTTTAGCGAATAAACTGAACTTTCTTAGTTCCTTCGCTTTATTTATATGAGTATATGTGCTATGAAAAAATCATAGAAATATAAATGCAAATATTGATTAGTCAAATAATTTTTTTAATATTAAATATATTAAACCATATTATAAAGTTTTTTTTTTAAAAAAACTAGGAATATAAACATCAATGACTAATCCTAATACCGAATTATATATTAACATTAACAACTGATACGAGTAATTTACATAATTACATGAAAAAACTTTGATGTTATAATAGGAATGGAAGTATTATACCAAAAATGTAAATTCTCCATAATTGATATTTACATACGAAAGCTTTAGGAGTATTTGGAAGCTCTAATATGTTTCGACACACATTTTTTATGTGAAATTGAACCAAATCTAACTCTAACATTCCATGCGATTTTTTGTTTATTTTGTGTAAAAAAACGTAATCAACTCTAAATATTGTTATTGTTTCATCAAGTTAATGTTTTTATAACTTTTAATTCTTATAAATTTTATTTTTAAAAAACGAAAAAATCGAAAAACCAAAATAAAAACTGAATAAAATCAAACCAAATAACCAACGGTTTATTTATTTTTATGTGAAACTGAACCGAACCAAACCGCCAACTTACTTCCGTTTTATTTTTAATGTTAGTTAAAAATCGAACTGTTAAAACCGAACTCACTCCTAATCGAGATCTGAAACTACATTCAAATTAGATTATATTAAAATTTATTTTAATAAGATTAGAATTATTTAGAAATAGAGCAAGTGAGGGATTTAAGCTATTAAGCTATACAGGGTGGGCAAATTCATGAACATCAATGGTCAATCAGCTCTAAACATCCATCCAGAGAAAGAAGAAAGGGAAACCTGAATTCCTATCATCGCCCACGCACTATTCACAAACCAGGTTCAAAAGGCTAACTGCGAACCTTATCCCAGGTAGCAATTCTCTGCGTTTATTTGTTTACCATTGATTTCAGCATAGCAGCGCGTGTTAGGGTTGATTATTTCCATTAATTGAGTACGAAAGCCTTCAGTTTGATTGTAATTGTGGCAATAATCATTGTGTAGAGATGCAGATTGATCTTCAGGTTCAGCGCAATCACACTATCGTCTTTCTTCTTAATTTCTGAATTCTGATCTAGGCCCGTGTGTAATTTTCTAGGTCTCATTGTGCTGCATTAAGATCTGTGGAGTTCAATTTCAGTGGGAGGAAGATGAGCCATCCTAGCCTGGGTCAGCAACAGCCCGAAGGAAGACATGAGGATGATACTGCCATTGCTGAATTCCTCGCATCGTTGATGGATTATACTCCTACTGTGAGATTTGAATTTTTTTTCGTAATAAATATTTGCATTTAGAATTTAGCTGTGCTTTTGCTGCTGGGACAGTTGTTTTATTCGTATTAAGTGCTTAATGCGGTTTATTCAAATGCCTAACAAGTGATATTTGATACATCCTAAATTCAATTGAATGCCATTATAGTAATAATTATTAAAAAAAGGAGCTTATATTCTAGCAGTTTAGCATTGCCCAGTTGGCCAGTTATTTGGCATTGATCTTCTTTGTATAGTTAAAATATCAAATGTGGTGTACCTATATAAATAAAAGAGGTTACAGTTTGGTGCTCATTTTTTGATAGAATTACAGGATATCAACTCGGGCCGGCCTTAATCGATTATTATTTGTTTTAAAACATTTGACCAGATACCTGATGAACTAGTGGAGCATTACCTGGCTAGATGTGGATTTCAATGTCCTGATGTGCGGGTGTCGGTATTCTCTGCTAATGTTTAGTCATCTTGTTTTTGATATTGCACATTTGATTTGCATTTTTTGTACACATATTGCATCTGCTATTTTTTCAGTTCATCATGTATTTGTACATAATCTGGTGTAATATGGATTTCAGATGATTTTATATTTTGCTATTGGATTAATCTGTTTTTCGAACATCTCATTTATATACTGGCTGTTTTTTTCTATTTTGTTGAAAACCTTTCCTTTTTAGTTTCAGTACCTGTCATTAAATTTAATTACACTTGCTTGTTGCTTACTAGAGACACCCACATCACTTATTTAAAGGATACACTGTATGGAATAAATAAAAAGCACCCCCTCTTCTCATCAATGACTCAATGCTAGTCTTCCGTGTACCTATTTCCATAGCATTGATTTTCAGAAATCTTCAAGGTTCCGCATAAGTTGTCTAGACTTCAGATTCACTTTTGCAGTCATTGTTTCTGATAGAACTCAGGATTGGCGGGGAAATAAATGAGGGGAAGTTTTTATTACATTATGAAATCGGCATCTAACTTCATAAAATAATAAAAGAAAATCTTTATCAAAATATGAGCAATAATCTTAAACTCATACAAGTAATAAAGCCAAGAAGAATCTCCAATAATAAATATTGAATTACTTTCAAGATAACTTTTACAAATAATGAGCATGTATATTTATAAAAGCCAAATAACTACCAATTCCTAGAATTTAGGTCCACTACGGCACTCCCACATTAGCTAGTAACTATTCCTAGACTTTAGGCTCACTACCACATTACTTAGCAACTACTAGAATTTATTTACTACTCAGTAACTAACATGTATAAAATAATATTTTTTGACCCGTTAAACAAATGACCCTAACTGACTCTATTATAAATATTACTAACATCAAATAATTGCATATGTGGCACTCTGTCAGTTTCTTTGTTCCTATTTCTAACCTCCATAATTAGCAATCTTCTGCAACTAAATGGTCTTTCATTGTGAAATGTGAGATGCAGGATTAGGTTGGTTGCTGTTGCTACACAGAAGTTTATTGCAGATGTTGCCACTGATGCACTTCAGTATGTTGGCTATTTTTTTCTTTATACAGTAAAGCTTCTATATAATAATATCCTTGGAACAAAGCTAATCATATTTTACTCTCTCTGTCTCATAAACTTCTGTACAGGAATATGTTTCCCAACATAATTTTGTAACTCAAATATAGTCCAATTTTAGCAAAAGATGTAGTTTTTCATTATATCTAACATGTTCCAAAAAATGCAAAACAAGTTAGAAATGTTTAAATTGAGTTATACATACAAATAAATTCAAAACTATACTCCATAGTTTATATGTGATGATTTCCACATTCCACTAGTTGTTCCTTGCTAAAATTAAGCAACATTTAAGAAACACGGAGTATGATTCCTTTAAGGGGATATAGGGAGTAATTCAGGGTTGAAACTTACTACAAATACATACATAATATATAATAAACGAAATTTAAGTTGGGACCAAAATGTTTTGTAATAGAGTCCCTTTGGTACTTGCTTTAACATTTACCAATAGCAGTTTAGAAAAGCTATCCAATGGCAGTATTTAGCTTAAGCGTATTTAAACTTAATATGCACCATTAAAAATATCCAAAACTCCGAAGCTAATCGCAAAATTCCTGTCGAGGTTTTACTGTGTTAATGATTCCCACTTGCCATGTTCCTTTCTAATTTGATACGGAGTACAATACATTCCATCAGCAAGCCCCCCTATCCCCAATTATTTTTTCTAGTTTTTGTTGAGAACCACGGCCAGATTGCATGGCACCCTTACTGCATTGGCGCATTCACACTCAAAGTGTTATGCGTACACTGTACATTTTACCACTCCAACTTACAGCATGCGCCCCCAAAGTGTGTGCACTGTACAATTAATTACTCCGTACAAGATGGGCTTCAAAAAAAAGTTGCATGCCTAGTTGCCTACCGTTCTAATTGTGCCTCAAAGGCTCCTGTCCAATGCGGGGTATTTGTGGGGGAGTGGGAGGGGGTCGGATGGATGCAGCCTGACCTCTATTTTTAAAACCTAAATCAACTGTTTCCAATGATGTGCTGTCATGGTCCGTGAATGTTTTAAAATTAGTTAAAGTGCTGCTCTGTCCATTCAAAGGGACATTATTGTCAATATTAATCAAGTGGAAAAGAAAACTTTTGTTTATTTTCAAATTTTGACAATTTTGTTAATGGAACTTGGTTCCCCTTTTCTTGAGAAAGTAAACATGTAAAGCTTCCCAATAAGACAAAGTGCAAATCTACTGAAGTCAATTTGTATGCATTAAATTCCTTTTTTGTTCCAAGGTCCATTCTTGTAACTGCATTGCATAGTCTTGTAAAACTGATATGTTTAGTTCATATGGAGTTTCACACTGGAGAAGGGACTACACATTTTGATATAGTGAAAGTTGATTGCAGAATCTTGCCAAGGAGCTATTATTATTTGGCAATTGTTTATTTTCTTTATTTAATGCGATAAAGTGATTGAGCGTTTGGTCCTTGTTGCCATTTGTGGGAGAGCTAACATTTGTCTACTGTTTTAAATTGCTGTTGTTAGGCAATGCAAAGCAAGAACAGCTGGAACTGTAAAAGATAAGCGAGATAAACAGCAGAAGGTGTCCCTCTTACCTTGCTTTTCTTTCTCACCTTTTATGTTGATAGTAGTTCTAATTGTGCTTGTTACAGGATAAACGACTAATACTGACAATGGAAGATTTATCAAAAGCTCTACGTGAGGTAAGCTAAAATGGCTTTACTCCTTTATTGATTGCATAATAAGTCCTTAATGTGACCTAAGTTTGGCATTTTTGGGATTATCTTGAACTACAACTACATTTAGTGGCATCCTCCTGTTAATCGATTCCATTTTCTGCGACACATTCTCTTTGGTTATAATGTTCCAATTGAAAGCACGACAAAGCATCAATTAATTTATAATTTATATACTGGAAATTCTGTTTTATGAAGAGTGGCTATTCAGTTAACGTTTTTTCAATTCTTTTTAATTTAGAACAAATGCTTTCTAGGAGCTTATTTGATTGGTTTGTTATCCATCTATGGTTAAGAATTAAAAGGTGGTATTCAGTATGCAAATTTTGATGGTTATAAAATATAAAGTCATATACGTCCAGAAGGGAATGGCACGGATAGTAGGATAGGGAAATGCGCTAGTCCCACTTTCTGTTACCAAAAAGAGTCGTGTTTCAAACACAATTTGTCCCAAAACGGAAGTCCATGAGGTCAAACGAAGCTAATTTTTCATGTCATTTACCCAAAAAAAGTTATGATACATCATTCTTGACACTCATCCCATATCAAACTTTAAAAGCTGTACACTGGTCAAGCATAAACCTTTTTTTCCAGGACAGAGGTAGTACTTCATATACTAACTGCATTTCTAATTTTATATTTTATGGGCTTAATGTCCCAATTGGTTGGTGGGGTCGGGCCCCTCGGGGCATGGAATCTACACCATCATTTTAATCTTGTTGTGCTTGTCATTGATGAGATTTTATTTCTTTTTGTTGCTATTTTTATTTTAAAAAAATGACACCATCTCATATTGGCTTCCTATCATGTTAGTACGGTGTAAACGTCAAGCATCAAGATTACTTTGCGGATAGCCCATCTGCTGGGTTAGATCCCATGTCACAAGAAGAATGATTGAATGCGTCCGAGAGGGGGAAAGCTCTTCAGATGGCCATAAAGGGTTGATCTCGCCTCAAATCTCGTACTTCAGCTTTTCTATCCATTAACATATGACTGGCATTTTATTGTTTGTACATTTACCTTGTATTTTCACTTGTGGTGATATTGCACTTTAATATTTATGGACAATATTTGTGTGTGTGTGTGTGTGTAAATCACTCTTTGTTCAATGGTATTTTAATGTGAGGATAATCAGAAGTTTTTCTATCTTATTCCTGGTCTCTTTGCTCTTTCATATTTTGTGGGATTTATTGCTTCGTTTGGCTAGACCATCTCCAATATGGAGTTCCAAAATCACCTTTTTTTTTGGGTCATTAATTGTGTCATGTAAGGTAGGATAAGATATTTTTTCAATTTTGTTGTTATCTCAATGATAGAACTAGACTAGCAAAAAATAATTTGACTTGTTCTTGACATGTTCGTCCCGAAATACGAGGTCTTGATAAAGGATTTTGTGACATGAACTTGAAAATGACCAACCCAAAATGACTTGCTACAATGAGTCAAAACCGAACGAACTTGAACTCGACTTGATTGACATGCCAAGATGAGATTTTCCCAAACTATGTACTCCAAACCTTATAAAGAATACGCCATCTAAAAAAAAGGTGAAAGTATAATCGATGTTTGTGAGCAAAAATCTCAAAATTCTCTCGATCTCGGGTATTACTTCAAGTGTAATAAACAATCTTGGAGTCATTGAGAGGTAGACTTTCAAAAAAGGATGAACCCCATCTTATCCTGGCTTGAGAGTTAATAAATGAAACTCTAATTTCAAGTGGACAATTGGAAATAAATTTTGCCTTTAGTCCTACCTTTATGCAAGACAAAACATCCTACATTACCTTTGCTGGGAATTGAATCCGGCCACAATGTTTTTTTACATCCATATTGACCACTTGAGCTACGTCCCGAACAATCCCTCCATATTTTCAAACACACAAGTCAAAGCATTCCCAAAACCCGATTTCAAAACTCTGTCTCCAATCTTTTCAACAAATGATCATCCTACCATGATCATCATCGGCCAATATTTTGATAAACACATACAAATCATGTGTAAAATGAATGGATCTTCCTCTACCAAATGATCCCAATTTATTTAGAAAAAAAATAAACACAACCATAAATTACCTTCACTCAAACCCTAGATCTACTCTACCACATTGAGTCTTTATGTAGTCAACGAGTTTAATTACCATACAGTTGTTCATTAACATTTAACAATTGTAAATCTTTGGGTGTCAATTGAAGGTGCATTGTTTTCCCACACCGGAAGTTGGATGTGAAGAAGGGCGAGGATTAGTATATAAATACAGGACAGCTTGTGACTTTAAGAAATTAAAAAGGGTCGGTTGGCTAAATATGCCACATTCATCCGATGGGTGAGTGCTGTATGGAAATCAAGACATATGGCCGACATAATTTGTGGAATTTTATAGGGTTGGCTCCTTGGTCGACCCTCCCAAATCATTCAAAAAGCTTTTTTTTAAGGTTTCAAATATTGTTTCTAATACTACTCTCCGCCTGACCTTGTTTTAAATACTTTGCTTACATGTGTTATTTTAAAAATAAAAATTGATACTTGGAAATAATGGATAAAAACATACTCTCTTTGTCCACCATAGATTTTTCCAGACACTATTCATAGGGTCAAACTTTACTCATTTTGTTTGCTAATTTTTACTTGTCATTTCATAAAATAATATAGTCTTGTCACCTCTCGTTTTATAGAACTTTTCATGTAGTTTATTACTATATAAATTTTATTTTAAAATTTTACTCCTATAATTAGTTAAATTGAATTGAAAATAAAGTCGGTTAAACCTCGTAACGCGTAATGGGAAGATCTTAGGTGTTCGGAGGTAGTAAAATATTTAATTAAAATTTCAAAAAGTAGTTTAGATTTTAATGTGGTAATGGAGGGGGTGGGGGACAAATGGGGTATACAAAATGGTGTACCCCTAGCATTTTTCTTTAATGTATGTGGAGTGTTTGCTGGCACAACCTCCATCTTCAAAACCAGTCAAACTTTATTAGTTGGCTATATTTTGGTTACTTATTTGATAAAATAATATTATCATGTTAATTCTAATTTTATAGATTTTTTATGCGATTTTAACTTTATAATTTCATAAAAATTTTAGTGATTTGAAAATAATTTTAACCAAACATCGTAACGTGCAACGAGAATATTATTGTTGGATGGAAAAAGTATTATAATAATAATAATAATAATAATAATAATAATAATAATAATAATAATATTATTATTATTATTATTATTATTATTATTATTAATGGGTTTAAATATAACTTAAAACAGCGAATGTTTTTTAAACTTTTCACGCAGGGAAGTGGTATGGGGGCAGCATTATTATAATTCGAATAATAACAATTGAATCTGTTTTTGTTTTTGAAGTTTGACTAAAATTATTTTTTATTTAATTTATTTGGAAATTGGTAAGGAATTTAAAAAAATAAAATTTATCTATTTAAACACTATATCAAAAGTTCTACAAAACAAGAAAAGACAAATATATTATTTTTTCTCAAATGGGTAGCAAGAATGGGTCAAAACGAGGTAAAAGTTTGACCTTATAAATAGTTAACATGTAACTTAATTTGGGATGAGGAAGTAAATGATGTTCATGTAATTTTGTAACATGTAACTTAAATTTGGCTCATCAATTTCTCTCATAAACAAGTTCTTCAACTTGGATTAGAATTCACAAGGGTGCATAGACATTGCTTCTCCTGCCCACACTTCTAATCCAAGCATGATGCCAAATTTGTTTGGTTTGATTCATTCTTCAAAAGGAAAACATAAAATGAATAGTGATGAATTAGGAAAGGTAAAACTTGGGTAACAAGAGTCTAAAGGCAGTGATAAATTTAATCCAGAAGAGGTCCATAATACACAGTGAACAGTAGTCATGAAGGTAAGTTTTGATACTCTAAATAACACCATTAACCCACAATTCCACACCCATACATTCAATAAGTTGTGCAGAAAATGCAGAAACAGAGAACATAAAAAAGGGACATAGTATGAATATTGCTACAAAAAAATGATTGTGTAAACAGTAAACAATGGTACAACACGCGCACGCTCGGACACGCCTAAGCTGCCTTTGGCTTTGTTGTCTTTTTCTTGAGCTGCCTCCTAGAAATGGAGTTCTTCATTCCAAGGAAATAGAGCAATGCGCCGAAAAGTGCCACATTCTGCTAGACAAAAAAAGAAGCTAGCTAATCAATTGGAAAAACTAAGACAGATGGGAGATGGTTTGATTCCAACCCACTTCAAAGCACTATTTAAGCAGTATTAAAAATCATGGTTTAAAAAGGAAGCAAAATCTATATCCAAACCATGCCCTAATGACAGACCTGCAGGAAGTCATGGAGAAGAGGGAAAAAATGTGACTCTCCGAATTTGTAGTTATAGAAGTCGTAAAGAAAGGGAGTGATATAGATCAAGTAACACATCTGCAACATTTTAAGAAAAATTAATGCCAAAATAATCATTCATCTCATTGAGAGACAGCTCTGATAGGGTAGTTTGGAAAATGCTTCAGAGAGAACAAAGTTTACCAGCAGATAAGCACCAAGTGGGCTGCCAAATACAAACACAAGGCCTCCCACTCCTTTCAGCACCAGAGAGGCTGCAACAATATGCTTAACCTAATATAGAAGAAGCAAATATTACAATACATTAACAATTGTTGGAAGATTTGCGGCATAAAATTAGAGATGCAAATGAGGGTACCCATACATCGATGTTTGGCGATACCCCAAACTTGGAAGCAAAAAATCTCTTAGCAACAGCCAGCCTGGGAACCAGTTCCTTTGCGGCAGGCCCGTCGTCCTCTCCAAAGTCATTATACCTAGAGTAATATGTTAGGAGTTAATAGGGGCATATTACTGATAGGATCAAGAACACAAATAAGACACCAATAAGGAATTCACATGACTGCATGACATTAACCACAATATAAAGCAACGAAGTCTTAAAATATATCATAGTAAACCAATGTTATAATCAACTAAGAATTACTGCATTAGACGCCTGCAAGGTAGCATTGGTTCTAGGACATAATCAAGGATTAATCGGATTAGACGGGATCCCATTGTGGCAGAATAAACCTTGGCACCAAGTAGTAGAAGCTAGAACTGGGCTCTAAAAATGGGGTCTTTAAGAAGCAAAACTATTACCAGTTGGTTATTGGTATCAAGTCTAAAGTGCTGTCATGTCATGACATTTCTCTATTACCTTTACCTATTACCTTCACGCCTGTTCTTTCTTCTTTTTCTTCTTCTATGATGTTACTCACTTACTCATATAGGAAAAAAACATGTAAGGCTACCAAGAACATACCAAATAAGGCAAATAAAGTAATCTTTTCATAAACATAATTAAAGTTCGCTCCTTTTCCCATGGCAAGATCCACAAAGCCTAAGTTCCAACAGATTAAAAACAAAATAATAATAATAATAATAATAATAATAATAATAATCCCTCAACAGAAGAATTCACGAGCTGATTATACATATACCTAGTTCATGTAAGAGTAAATTCTCAAAACAATACTCAATAACTTTGCGATTTCCCAAATTAGTCCCTAAGATGAAATAATTACCGCGATGGTACTCGTTAGTTGAAAATAATGCCCAGTTTAGTCCCCCGACTAACTGCCATTAAAATGGCGTCAAAACGATAATAAAACTTATACTTATTTTCCAAAGTGATCATTTCTAATCGAATGTTTTTCAGAATTAGTCAATTTTCGAAATAAAAACTCATAAAAAATGGTCTCCCGGCTTCGGTCAAACACCTTAAATCAATTTGGAAAATTAGTAAATTGATCAATTGAAAAAAATGATCAATTTGGAAAATTAGTATAAGTTTTAATGCCATTTCGACACTGCTTTGACGACCGTTAGTCGGGAGACTAAACTGAGTATTATTTTCAACTAGGGAGTAACATCTTGGTAATTAGTTCATCTTGGGACTAAATTGGAAAAATACCCAGTTATTGAGTATCATTTTGAGAAATCACTACACATATAACAACAAACTAGCACGGAAATGGAAGAAAGAGACGGATCTGAGAACCAACCACTTTCCATACGGAATGAACAATGCGAATTGCGAAACAACAAATTGACACCAAAAACGTGGCGGAAAACGAGGACAGAGACTAGATCTGAAGAAGAGAACAGAGATGGAGAAAGAGAGGCAGCGTACATTTGCCAGGCGGAGAGGATGAAGATGGAGGCGAAGAGAACTCTTCCCAGGAACGAAAAGAACCCCATTTTCTTCCTTATTCACTGCCGGCGGATCTCCGTTGGGCTACGGGGCTCGAGGGAGAATACCTAGTTCTTCTTCTTCGTCTTCTTCTTGCTCCGGGAGCTATGGAGAGAGGGAATATAGTAAATTAGTAATTGGGAATTGGGGTTTGAAGTTTGAGGTTCCGTATTGGTGGTTGTTTTTATTGAGATCCGGCGGCTCGTTTGGTAAGAAGGGGACGGATGATTGGAGTTAATTACTTCCTTTCCTTATCTCACTTTATTAATTATTTTTTTTAAAAAAAAAAATCTTTAAAAAATACTTCTCACTTCTTAAAATAAAATTGAAATTATTTTTGATACTCAACCCTCCCGTAAAAAGATTCCAGTTTCGATTTGGGTTGAAGATTAAGAAAAATAAAATTGATAATATTTTTAATTTAATACCTACTCTTGCGTAAAAATATTTCATTTTTAATTTAGCATGAAAATTAAGAAAAATAAAAAAAATAATTAAAAGTGGCACAGAAGAGAGGGTTATATGGAAAAAATATCAAAATAAGAATAAAACATAAAGAAAATATTAAAATAAGAATTTCATATTTTATCTCCAAAATAAGAGATAATACTAATAATATCAATATATAATACCAAAAGTTATTGTGAAATAGCATATGTAGTGTGACAATGTCAAGATGCATATCTCTATTTTGGAGATAAAAACATAAATTTTTATTTTAAAAATGTGAATTATGTTTTACTCCTATTTGAGATATTTGAGATAATTTTTAACTTATATAGACCAGAAAAACTTTTTTCAAAAGTGAAACGAAATCACTTTTGGGACAAATATAAAAGAAAATATAAAACTTTTTTATGAGATAGAGGAATATACTTAAAAGTTAGAGTTCTGCTTTCATAATTCTAAATAACGCATGTAAAATGCGAATCTTTTTACACTTTTATGAGAATCGTTATTTTTTTCAAAAAAACTCTATTCATCTATGATATTTAAATATTAATTTTTATAAAATAATAAATGTAAATTTTAGGACCACTTAAGAATTTGTGTTGTTTCATCTTTCATGATACACCTATCAGTTTGATCTCAACGTAAAGTTCACGATTTTTTTGTTCTAATTTCTAAGCATATCTAAACAAAATATGAATCTTCTTTTATTATTGCAGGTCAAATTATATTTTCCTCTTTTTGCATTTTTATTCATATCTTGATTGAAAAAATTAAAAAATACTCCGTAGCTAAGTCACCACTTATTTTATATTCTTGCCCCAGAAAATATATCTTGTTTTCCTTATTTAGATGTTTCAAAATGAATGTCTCTTTCCATTTAAAGAAAGAAATAGGCAGCTCACATAATTCTCTCTACCGCATAAATTTACGCTATATAATTTCACTTTTTCTTAAACTTTGTCAAAATCATCCCAAGACATTCGGTGCACTTTGTAATTACATACTCAAAAATTTTTATTCTTAAATTATTTAATAAAAATTTTCAGACAAATTGTTTTGCGATCCTTAAGTTCATGATTATTTTATGAACCATAATTCATAAAATGATAATATGTAGTGGGCCTTGTTAAAAAGAGAATCAATTATGAGTCCATAGAAAATACATAAGACAGTCTACATTTCACATGTAAATTTTAGAACCGTTATGTTAAAAAAGAGCATATAATTCCCTAAAATGATATGGAGTAGGATGTAATTCTCCCATTGAAAACCCAATTCATTATACACTTAAAAAGTGCTAAACTTTATGACCCTATAAAGTGAGTTGTTTTTTAGTACCCTTAATTTTGTCTTCAATGTCTTTAGAGATATTACAGACAAAGAATAATGTTCCGTGTCTTGACATTAAACTTCAAGTACACGCCAAAGTTAATTATAATACAGTGCTTTTATGGGAGGATAAAAGGTGAATCTACACGCATTGCCACCAACTCGCCACGTCACGCACGCACACAATCGCGGGCCTTGATGATGGGACTCCAAAATTACTCCCTTCGTCCCCAATTTGATTACAAATTGCGGGTTACGGAGTAAAATTTCCTACTTTTTGAAATCATTTTATTTACAAATTGGTATATTAGTAAGATATAAAAATTACATATTAAAAAACTACGACAAAAGTTCTACAAAACAAGAGGTGACAAGAATATTTTATTTTATCAAATACTTAATGAAATCGCGTAAACAAACAAAAGTTATCGAGAGGAGAGAGAAAAAAAATTGTATTCCATTTAGGGACGGAGGGAGTATATGATTTCAGGAAATTCTTCCTTTGGAGGAAATTATCACTAATATGAATCAGCGGATCTTGTATTTCAATTTTCAAGCCCTCTAAGATGAAAAAAAGATACAAAAGTTTGCCTTACTTTTAATTGGCCGCCACTTGCATTTGAGAAACAATGTTATATTACGAACACCTGCATAATCATGCTCTCTGAGCTTTGACTTTGAGTAAATAAGAATCGACATGAACATTAATCGTAATTATAAAAGAATATAATCACGTGAAGATAATCACTTGAGAAATCATGCTCTAATCACGTGATTATAATGATTATAATCAATTACTATTAATCGTAATTATTTACTCTTTAAACGCTTTTTAGAGGCGCTCTAGTGAATTTTACTAAATCGAATTGACATGAAAGTTAATCGTAATTATAATCAAAGGAAACGGAATTAAACTTATCTGAACTGAACTGATTTTGGCTGAACCAATATTTAAGTGAAACATGCTCATTCAGAAGCCCAAAGTTCCTCCCAAGGAGCAATTATTAATAATAATGAAGAAGAAATGAGCAAAGAGAATCAAAGGACTCTTGCTTCATTCTTCAGCTTGTCAACAAGCTCATCCACGGATGAGAGTATAACGCCGGCTTTTCTCTTGGGAGGCTCAGTCACCTGCACAATCTCCATGTCGCATTCGATCTCAACGTTCAATTCCCGAGGAGTGATCTTCTTTATTGGCTTCGACTTTGCTTTCATTATGTTGGGGAGCGTTGCGTACCTCGGTTGGTTCAGTCTCAGGTCCGTGCTGCAGATTCAAAGAGTCTCATATCACACTTTGGAATTGTATGTTCAAAAGAAATCACCTTAAATAGGAGTAAAACATAAAAAATGTACCAAAATAAGAGCTCCATGTTTTTATCTCCAAAATAGGAGTTTGCACTGTGATAATGTGACACTATATGTACATTTCACAATATTTTTTGGTAATATATATGGTCATGATTGACATTGTATATGCATTTTAATTCTATTTTGGGAATAAAAACATAAAACTCTAATTTTGGTATATCTTTCTATATTTTACTCTTAATTTAGTCTTTTTCACTATGTTCAATTGAGAAAACAACTTCAGTGTTTAGCTTTAGCATTTTGAAAAAAAGGCTATGTAATGGCATCGTTTAGCACTTTAGCTTTAAAGAAATTATATAAGTAAAATATAGAGAAACTACCAAAATGGAAGTTACATTGTATATGCATTTTAACTCCCATTTTAGTAATAAAATGATTAAACTCCCATTTTGCTATATATTTAATGTTTTACTTTTACTGGTCTTTTTTTTCCTTAGCTTTAACGTTTTCAAACTTAAATTGCAACATTGAAATGCACCATTAAAATATTATCCAAGAAGCTAATTGAAAAAGTAGTCCCCAAATAAGGGCCGTAAACTACTACAATTGAATGCTTTAGAAGGGCATACATATATATATATATATATATATATATGTCGAAGGCGTCTTACGTGATGACTGCGGGTAGGTCCAAAGACAACGTTTCAATCCCGCCATCGACCTCTCTATCTACATTAACCACCTGCTTTTCTTGGTCCAGAATGACCTATTGGGCAAAATATAACTAAATATTTACCATAAAAGCTTGGGATAACAGTATTGACCATAGAGCAAGAAGTTGCTGACCTTTGAAGCAAATGTCCCTTGCGGCCATTGAAGAAGCCCTGCAACCATTTGACCAGTCTGGTTGCAATCATCATCAATTGCCTACACGGAGGAAAACCACGGAGTGATTTATAGGTGAATGCCGAAGGACAAACACAAAAAATTGGGATGCATTTTTATGTACTCGCATGGGACAACTTGCTATCCAAATGAACAATCAAACCAGGACAAATGTATCCATCTTAAAGTAAGGTGAATCCAGTTGAGGCTCACTAGAACTAATAGTAGGTTTTGCTACCACATTACATCCTAAAAGGTCTAACCTAACATGAATATTGAAGTGACTTAAGAAGTCCACAAAAGATCATTGGAGCAGGACCTGCCCTAAATATTCATAGTACTTGGTTCAAATATTAAAATTTGGCCTCTAAAGTGTTATAGTACACAAGTTATTTACCTCTAAGTTTTCAGATTGATCTTTTAGCCCACTTACATTAGTTGGATATGATGCCTCTGTTACATTACTGTATAATACTTCAAGTACTTGGAATTAAGATACTAATTTATAGAACAAAAAATATATGTTAACACTTGAGTGCGATCCTAGAAGGCCACTATTCTAAGAGACTAGACAATAGATGTGTTGGGATTATGCAACTTAACACATGATCCATTGTACATTGCAAAAAGAAACATTGTCCCTTCGTCCAAAAATCATCTTCTTGTTCACTATTCATCAAACATATTTTCGGTGCACATTTGATAAAATAATATAAGCCCCGTTTGGCATCAACGTTAGAGATTAGCGTTAGCGTTTTGAAAAAAGCTATCCGACGGTAGCCTTTAGCGTTAGCGTTTTCAGAATTAATCTGCACCATTAAAATTTTATCTAAAACGGTAACGCTAATCGAAAACGCTGTTACTAAACAAAGCCATTGTCATTTTACCACTAGTTTTATAAATATGTAATTTTTAATTTCACACAATTTTTCATATGAAATGATTTGAAAATAACACGAAACCAGGAGAATAATGTGTTATTAGGTGATTGAGAAAGGTATGAACGGATACTGTATAGCAATCGAGTCAATAGAACTAAAAAAAAGCAAAGCAAATCATGTGAAGAAGAGAGAAAAACCTGTTTCCCAAGGAGAAGAAGCCCGGGCTTCTCAATTTCAACAAGAGCTCTCAGAATCTTTGCAACGGAGAGCGGGTAAAGAGGCGCCGCCGCCGGGGCTTCCACATGAATCGCCCGGTCCGCACCCATGGCCAACCCGGTCCGCAGAGTATCCACGGATTGAGCCGGGCCGATACTGACCGCCACAACCTCCGCGGCCCGACCCGATTCTTTGATCCGGATCGCTTCTTCCAGAGCGATTTCGCAAAACGGGTTCATCGACATCTTCACATTGCTGGTCTCTACGCCACTCTTGCGAGAACGAATGAAGGAAAATCAGTTTGGAATCGGATTATGGGGCGACTCGGAATCAGATTTATGGTTAACTGAGAGGAGTTGCGATTACCTTGTCGGGTTTGACCCGGATTTTGACGGCATAGTCAATGACCCGTTTGATGGCTACCATGATCTTCATGATTTGTTCGCGAAAGGAAGACTGTAGCACCTCGGAACTTGATTTTGCTCCCCAGGCAGAGTTGCAAGTGAAAATGCTGTTTCAATTTCTAATGCATTGGAAAATGTTGTTTACTCCGTAAAAGTTTTCCATTACTTTTAATATTTTGGATAAATTTATAATGACACAGATTAATTTTAAGAATATTAACGCTAAAGATTATTGTTAGATAATTTTTTCAGAACGTTAACATTAATCTCTGACGTTGATATCGAACGGGATCTTAGTACTCTACCATTACAATATCTTTGTCCATTTTTAATTTTGGCTTTTGTTATTTAGATTATGTGAGTGTTTCACAATATTACTACCTACTTACTTATTACTTATAAATAGTTTTTAAATTATAAGTTGCTTGTAAAATGATAATTATTATGTGTAGAAAAAAATAACTTTAATAATTTACATATAAGTTGTTTTATAAAATTAATAATAGGCGAGAGATAATAGGTAAGACTTACTTATTTTTTTCTAATTTATAAATAGCTTATAAGTTAATTTATAAGCACGAAGGAATACGTTATCTGTTGCCTTACGGGTTAAAAACAGTTTATAAGATTTTTACCATCTTATAAATACAGAAAAACAGACACTATGTTCATTTCATTACTAAAAATATAGTTTGATATGTTGGAAAAAGTTATAAAAGTGCGATAAAGATAAGAAATTAGAAATTAAAAAGAGTTGGAAAAACTTGAAATAATTAGAAAAATTATAAATATTTAGAAGAAATTGGAAGAAATTGAAAAAATAAAATGGAATTGGAAGAAAATGAAAAAAAATTAGAAAAAATTGAAAAGATAAAAAGTGTTAGAATATTTATTTTATTTTATACATCTCATATTTTTTTAGAAAAAATACTCTACTTTTTCAATTTTTTATGTCTATTTATTTTCTTCAATGCCATTATATCCAATCCCAAATCATATTCATAATCTTTGTGTGACTCACACTCTTTCTCTCTAATTTTAAAATAAATATTAATCATATAATTTTTTATTTTTAATTGTATGTTACTAATTCATATATTTAAAATAAAAAGATAAATGAAGTAATAATTTTATTAATCTTAGTTAATAGATAAATGAACCAATTAATTCATACAAAAACTTTTGTATTCATACAAAAATATTTAAACATTTATTTTATTTTACTTTTTAAACTATTTAATTTTATAATAGTGAAATGAAATTTTTTTATGCAAACAAATAGTATCTACTTATACTTAATAAATCTGGAGTAAATTCCATAAGTGGTCCTTTATAACAGGGGGGTTTCCATATTTAGTCCTCTATTATCAAATATTACCCCCGTAGTCCTTTTTTAAGGGTACCTTTCCACAAATGGTCCTTTTTTTGATCTTCTGCCGTGTTGTTGTTAATTTAAAGGCTAAAAATATAATTTAACGTCAACATTATGTCTAGTGACGTGTTCTGATATTAGTTAAGCGGATAACACAAAAATAATGACTATGATTATGGGTTAGGATTCTGACGAAAGATCACATTTGTAGACTATAGTTGTCGTAAAAAGCGACTGTAATTCACAAACGACGCAAACGGAACAACCTTTGGAATTGTTTATGACAAAAAAGATATATTATCATTGTGAAATTACACTTTTAGCTCTCAAATTAACACCAACATGATAAAAGATCAAAAAAAGGACTATTTATGGAAAGATACTCATAAAAGAAGGATCATTTGAGTAATATTTGATAATAGAGGACTAAATAGGGAAACCTCCTTGTTATAAAAGACTAATTATAGAATTTACTCATAAATCTGACATCTAATATATGCACATTTAAAAAAATGAAATAATACTAATCTCACACAATCATTTCCTCACAAATTATATTAATGTGTGAACATCATGTTTTTTTGTATATGCTTAAAGAATACACATTATCAAAAATAATGTATCCAAATTTTACTATTCACAAAGTCAGATTTTAATCACATATTTTACTAATTTTCACTTTATATTTGATAAAACAATATAATCTTGTTAAACTTATTTTGTAAATATTTTAATGTAATGTTTAAATATATAATTTTTTTAGTTCTACCTTTATTTTCAAATAAATTAAATAAAAATTATTACAACCAAATCTTATAAACAACATGCAATTTAAATCGAAAAATGAGGAGTAGGGAGTACATTAAAATACTGTTCTGAAAAAGTGGACAAAAAATAAAATTAGAGTTAAAATAGATTTAAATCAAGTCACATTATCGTAAAATAAGTTATACTCCTCCCGTCCAATGTATTTGTCCAGTTTGATTTTTTTGAATCAAACTATACAAACTTTGAACTTCAATGAAATAAAAACTGCATTTTATTTTAATATAAAAATAACTTTATTGGATTTATAATATTGAGAAACTTTTAAAATTGTATTTCATTATGCTAATGTGCAATATAAATTGAGAATAATTGGAGTTCAAAGTTTATCTTGTTTGATTCGAAAAAGTTAAACTAGACAAATACGCTGGGACTGAGATAGTAACAATTGTAGAAAAAATAAAAAATAAAAAATAAAAGAATAAATTCTATAATTGATCCTTTGTAACACAGGGGTTTCTCTAATTAGTCTTCTATTATCAAATATTATCCAAGTGGTCATTCTTTTATGAGTATCTTTTCACAAATAGTCCTTTTTTTGACATTCTATCATGTTGGTGTTAATTTGAGGGTTAAAAGTGTAATTTCACAAAGATAATATATTTTTTTTGTCATACACAATCTCAAAGGCTGTTCCGTTTGCGTCATTTGTGAATTATAGTCGCTTTCTACTAAAATCATAGTTTACAAATGTGGTCTTTCGTCAGAACCCTAGCCCACAACCATAGTCACAATTTTTGTGTTATCCGCTTAACCAATATCAGAACACGTCACTAAACATAATGTTGATGTCAAATTATACTTTTAGCCTTTAAATTAACACCAACACGACAGAAGATCAAAAAAGGACCATTTGTGGAAAGGTACCATTAAAAAAGGACTACGTGAATAATATTTAATAATAGAGGACTAAATATGGAAATCTCCTATTATTATAAAGGATCAATTATGGATTTTCGGGTCTAAACCAGGTGAGATCCGGATTCGAGTCTATTGGATTTAGGGTCTTTTCCTATTTAAGATAGGGTTCCCCTCCCTCTCGGCTTCCATTCCCCCGATTCCTCGCCGCGCTCATCCCTCTCGTCAGCCGCCCACGAAAAGTTGGGTATGTTTGGTTGGAAGTAGGTTAAAGTTTTATTAGGTAGGTAATGGTAGGTAATTGAAGGTAGGTAAATGAAGGTAGGTAATAAGGTAATGAATTAAAAATGTCCATCTCTCTCGCTCTCTCTCTCGCCTTCCTTCCTCCCTGTCAATGTAGCCTTCTGTTTTTGAATTTTCGTTGCTAATATGTATCTCAGTATGAAAGATTCGCTAACCAGATCTTGTTATTGAATCCGATGGTTTCAGCTTTCCCTCCTCGGTCTCCTCCCGTCTGCCTTGGTTCCTTCGCCGCCGCCGATGAGCAAAACCCTAGTAATTGGCGCAGTTAGAGTAATTGACATTTGGCATCCTCTCCAGTCAGACTTCCGAACACTGGCGTAATTGGCAAAGTCACTGCGACAAAGAGAAACCTCAGCAATGGGCAAATCCCAAATCTTGTCCTACTTTTAATTCACTGCCAACTTCCTTGATCTTCTTCACATTCACATTACCATGGCCAGAGTGTGACAGAAGATAAATTCTAAGGTCAGAATTCAAACTCTTTCTTCATTTCATTTTTTTTAATCATCATACCTTTTCTCTCTCTTTTTAATGCCTAAATTATTACACTTATTTACTGTTTTATATAAGATTTTTGTATGTGGTGTGATGATATTGAGTATATTTTGTAAGCGAGTGGATCAATTTTAGGGTTTGCATCATTTGTCTAGAGAGGCGGGTTATTTCTTCCATTTTTGTTGTTTTATTACTTGCAATTGCCAATCTGCTGCATTCTTTTTTTACTTCAATCATAATTTGATTTTCCAATAAATATGTATAAAAATTTAATTTTGATGGAGGCTAATGGAGGGTTGATAATTTTTGTTTAATCCCTTATGGATGTTTAACATTGAAATATGGTCTTAAAAAGTGATTACTCAATGCTCACGTGCTCTTCAATTACATCTATTTTCATCTATATCTGCTGTGGATTTTACTTATTTTATTTGTACTATCATGGATTGAGTCATAAATTTGTTGCATGTTTTTTGAATGTGTTCTTCAATTGCTCTCCCCTTTTTTCAGTAATACGACATTGCTAATGACTTTGTGCTTTTTCTTTATTTTCCCTTCAAAGGTTTCTACTGATTTTGCAATTTCTAGTCTGCTTTTAGCCTTTCTATGCATGCATGCATGCATGCATGGCACACCAATCACCATTTTTTTGTTACTTATAACATCAAAGTTTAAATATCCAAGGCGTGCATGCCAAACCCAGGCCGCCTCGTCCATCTTTGCAAGTAAATATGTTAGTGGAACTATATGAAAACGTACCTTATAGAGTCGGTTTGGAGACTTTTTCATTTTCATTAATGTTGCTCCTAACCGGTCATATTATCAAAGCAAACCGTCCTCCATAGGAATTTTGCATCCCACCTCGTCAAGTTGACCCAAACTTAGTACTCCCTCCATCCCCCATAGATCTTCCCATTAGCCCTTTTTATTTGTCCCACATAGATCTTCTCATTACCTTTTTTAACATTTAAAATACCACAACTACCCCCACTTACTTTATTTATTACACCTTTTCCACCTTATTTAATACACCCCACCCGTTTTCATTAAGGACATTTTGGTAAACTTTCATCTTTTTTCAACTTTCCTTAAAAACTATAAAAAGTCAAAACAAGAAAATCTTAGGGAGACAGAGGGAGTATATTATTACATAAGTCCAGAATATAATAAACATTAGTGATGAGCCTCTGGTTACCATTCTTACATTGCAAAAGAATAAACCCTTTGCCTTTGATTTCAACTGTTGAACCATCTCCAAACTTCATACGTCCTGCTATCTTTTCATTGAGGTTGCTAAAATAACCCCGTTCCCCAGTCATGTGATTGCTAGCACCATTATCAAAATACCACGTGCCTTCTTCGTTGTTCTCTTTGGCATATTCACAAGGAAACAGTCTCTCCTCAGCCAACATCACCACATCTTGTACATGCTTTACCATTAGCAAAGTGGGTTCATCATCCACCTTTGCTAGATTAAATTCATCATCTTCTTTTAGGAGCCCGACACTCGGCAGAGAAATGACCAAGCTTATCACAATTATAACACCGTAGGTTCTTTCGGTCACATTTTCAACTTGTTCATCGTGTCCAGGTCTTCGGTTATTATTTAAGGGGTTTTGGCCCCCATCCACGACCTTTAGATCTGCCATGCCCACGACCTCGGCCACGGTGATCAATAAATCCTGTTCCATGACCCCTGCCGACTTGCCTTGACTCGGTTTTCTGTCTTTCTTGCCATTCAGCCCCTGTAAACAACAAATAATCTGATAAATCTTTGATTGGCCATTAGGGGTAATCCGTTCTTCATAGGCATTAAGGCTACCAACAACTTCCTCAAACGCCACAATATTCAAGTCTAAATGCTATTCAACTTATTTACTTTTTTCTTCTCAATTGTTGATCCAAGTGCCCGAACCTTAGACATGATCTTGCTTGCAAAATCATCAATACTCTCACTTTCCTTCATTCTCAACATTTCAAACTCTGTTCAGAGTTTGGATTCATGCTTGTTTTACCCGATTGGCTCCAAAATAACGCACCTTAAGTGCACCCCACACGTCCTTGGCCTATGCATGTCCTGCTACATGCATCATAATGTCTTTCGGTAGTGCTTGGAAAATGAAGGCCCTTGCCTTTTTGCAGAATCTGACGTCCACCTCTATCGCATCTGGTGGTTCTATCCCAAATTCCTTGAGCATCCATAAGCAATTGCATCTTGATAGCCCAAGACGTATAATTTGTAGTCAGTACACGACATTGGTACGTTGTCGAGCCTCCATCTCAAACTGGGGTAACAACAACATCGTTTGTTTTTTTAGTATTGATGGCCTCCATGGCAGACTATTTTTTTAAGTGTATTGCAAGAAAACTACTGATCATAAATCTGTGTTTGTTTTTTTCTTACCAGGGCTCCGATACCAATTAAGAGAAAATATCATATTTGGAGTATATAAACAGAGTGTTTTGTTGTGGCACTGCTTTCCATAATTATGTGTCCATATATATAAATAGAGGACAAACCAACACAACCATTACAAACAGACACAATAGTCACTAACCAACACATCTGTTAGAAACCGCCAGAAAATTGCCTAAGTACCTAATTGTTTTTTTTTTAAATTTAAACTAAGTTCTGGACTTGAATTAACCAACAGCTTCAAGAATCCTAATGATGTGAGAGCCCTTTATTTAATGAATAGTGATTTAATTAGAACGGTAAGAAACTCAATTAAGCATAACAAAGGTGGCCTAATTGACCAAGATCTTATCGATGTGTGATGTTGAAGGAGCTTCCTTTCAAGCATAAAGGTCTTAATAATAAGCCTGAAGTTCCTTATGTGCGCAGGAGATACCAGATGGTATAAATAGATTAAAGCATTTAAGGCGATTGACAGTGTCAATAGAAGGGGGTGGAGGTCGAGGTGGTGCTCTAAGCATATTTGAACTATCTTCATTGAAGGTACTTGTTATCAATGTGAAATCAAATGTTGTCCACACAAATGAACATTCTTTGATGACATGGTGCAATGAGGTGATCATAGGTAGTAGCATAGAGAAAATTGACGATTTGAAAGAACCAAACACACTTAGATTTTACGGAGTACTTCAAAGATGACATTGCAGATGTCATTCTAGTGACAGGTACTGACAGGTGGTACCTTAAAAGTCTTTGTTCCAAACCACAGTAGCCTTAATGCATCTTAATGGGAAGAAGAAACCTTGGCTCCTTTGAACTTGAATTTTATATTGGGTTTCTAATGACTACATTCTTTAAAATTCCAAACTGTTTCTATCATTACCAGAGTTTTGTACTTTCTTCCGAGAGTTTAGCACTTCCTTCTCATTAGAGCAAAAGCCCTCATTATGATGAAAAAGAATTCTGTGGAACATCTGGTTCAAATGGGGATCTCAAACCGAAGCATGGAGCATATTCATGGCTGTTTGATTCACGGGTGCAACACAAGTACAACTGTCAAGCAAATTGTTGGCTTTCCAACCTTAATATGCCGGTTCTAAGCGATTGGTCACAAATGAAAGAGTTGTTCTAAAAAATTATGCAATGAATCTCAAGCACTTAGAGATAAGAGATCAGAGATTGCACAGCAATTGAAGAGATTAACACGTTATCAGATGGTGGTTATCTTTTACCACCACTAAAAACTCTCGTGCTTTGAGAAAGATATGCTCAAATATGAATTGGCCTTCCACTAGCACTTCTCAAATACTTGGGTGTCCCAAGCTGACAGAGCTACTTTTCAAAGAAAACTGTGCAAATAATCTGTGTATTATCAAAGTTGAGAAGATGTGGTAGGGGAACTTGGAATTGCATCATGAGATCAAAAGAAATTTGAGAGATATTGTAAATTCAGGTAAAGGCTTTTAATATCATTTTAACATGACTAGCATAACATCATTTTTTTGTTTCTTCATGAATAGGAGCTTACCTTGTTGCCTTGTATGACAGATAAAACTTGATGAAAAACTTAGGAGTTTGCACAGGGTGTAAATTCAGGTAGAGTCTTTAATAACATGACTAGCATAACATCATTTTTCGTTTGTTCGTAAATAGGAACTGACCATGTTACATTGCATGGCATATAGTTCTTGAAGATATCTAGAGGAGTCTTGAAATTGGGCCATGAGATCAAACAGAAATTCGAGCCATACTCTAAATTCAGGTAAAGTCTTGTATTTTTGTTTTACTGCAAGTAAAATGTTTTTTCTTTGTAAACACAAATTGACCATGCTATGTTGACTTGTAGGACTGATAGTCTTAAAGAAAAGGCTAGGAGTGATATTTTCCTGTTAATTGAAATTGTTTATTAAAGAAGAAGATGCCTTAACGTGAAATAGAGAGATATATGTTTTTAGAGAGCAGATACAATACATCCAGTGGTACTTAAGTCTATGTACAGCCGGCCCATATAACAAAATAAAACAAAGCCCAATTCTAATTTAGACAGTATCCTATTCAAGTTTAGCCCAGAAAGCTCATTCCAAGCCTAAGACATGGCCGCATTTGTTTCCAATTGGCGCTCTTCAATTCACCCGTAAAATCAAATTTTGCACAGATATCGAACACCAGTGCGAATGATTACGTTACTAGAATCGAAGTGTTCTCCTCTACTACTTCTACAATGCGGAAGACAGAAAGAAAAGTAGTGATAGTTTCCAACAAAGAACTTTCCAATTGAAGTGTTCTACTCTACATTTGTCCGGTAGACAAATGAAGAAAACAAAGAGGAATATAAAGATGAATAGAAATTATTGTTTGCTCATAGTTTTTAGTTGGGAATACAATTGTGTGGTTTGTCAAGTCAGCAGTGTAGTACTTATGACACTCATTTTAGTTTGGCTTCAAATTGCATAAACAAAAAGTAGAAAATGATAAACATAAATTTATATAATGAATTGTTGTTTAATCTGCTCTCTCCTGTTATTGTCATTAACGAGTGAATAAAACTCGTGCTTTTGGTTTGGCTTAAAAGTGCATAGAAAAAGTAGAAAACGGTAAACATGCATTTAGATAATGAAATATGATCATGGTGCTGTCTCCGAGAACTCATGTGTAGTCATATTTTATACTTCCTCCGTCCCAGAGTATATGTCCACTTTCATTTTTACACACCATCCAATACACTTGTTTAATCCATTTTATCTTGTAATTTGTATATTAAAAATTTTTAGAAATTATATATTAACAAACTATATGTTAAGACAAATCAAACAAGATCACACATGACTATATTTAGGCTTACACATTGAGAGAATTTGATGAGTCAAAGTGCTTAGATGAACAGTTCCAAAAGTCAAAAGTGGACGAATATAGCGAGACGGAGGGAGTACTCATTAAGCAGTGCATACAAGTGCTTTTGGTTTGGCTTTAAATTGCATAGAAAAGTAGAAAAGAATAAACATGTATTGAAGTAAAGAAATATGTTCATTCTGCTGTGTCCTTGTACTCATTTGTAATGTGATAAATTGCAGCTTAGAAAAAGGAACAGAGCAGAACCAATATTGGAGGAAAACAAAATCAAAAACAACAAAAATGCAGAAGAGGAGAACATGTTAGAACAAACTTTACAATGCAAATGGAGTGTAACACCCTAAAACCCGTCCTATTAGAATTAATTAATTATTGTATTCTGATAGGCTGGGTTTTGTGGCGTTACATGGAGATTGTACAGCGAGTACATTGTAAAAGAAGGGAAAGGAAGTGAAGAGGACAATATTCTAGAAGAACATATTTTACATGATGAAGATGTAGAAGATTCAGCAACTGCAAGGTCTGAGATTTTTTCATATCCTGTAAACTTGCTTGCATTAGATTGTTCATTCAAGTTACTTTCTTCAGTGAATATAATTTGTACTCCCTCTCTCCTTGAAAATTCTTCCTGATTTAAATATTTTTGGTCAAGCAATGACATTTTTTACCACAAATTAGTGCGATAAAAGTTTGATAATATAAAAACAATATCTTAAGATGAATCCAATTATATTAAATTTATATTATAATTCAATATAGTTTTCTCACAATTTATAGTCAAATAGGATCATTGTTTGACAAAAAAAAAACAAAAAAAGAAGGATATTTAGGGATGGAGTATAATTTTTGTACTCCTTTTGCAGGGTTGGTACCGAGATCCCAAAACTGAGGAGGAAACCACCTCTCCCATCTGCAACATAATATTTCAACACATCCATTTAACATATCACAAAAATAATTCAAAAAACCAAATCTAAACATTAGAGCTAGGTTAAGAAGAGTATTGAGCCTGTAAAGAATCTGGTCATGTTATCTTTCCACTAATCTTTCGCTTTAAGCAAGCAATTAAGCGTGTATGAACTATGAACACCAATTATACTAATAACTTTAAAACCTTCTTATTTTCTAAGTAGAAAAACATTGGAGAAATGTTTATGGGGATGGTTAGAAGAGGTACAAACAATTAATTTTATGACCATAGGTGAGCCAATTTAATTGGTATTACGATATTACATATTTACATCACTTGGAATGGTGTAGCATTACAACAAGGTTTTATTCTTTTGGATTGTAATCTTAGAGTTAGATATTGGAAGAAATTAATAGGAGTGGGAAGAAATGAGGAGTTGGAAAAAGTTGAAAGTTGAAAAAAAGATACTAGAAGAATTTAAGTGTAAAAAAATCACTCTATTAAATGATTACCTAAATATATATGTATGAAAATTTCAACTTTGGATAGAAAAGAATTCATCATTGTTTGTATTTGAGCCCTTTGAGGTGGTATCTTATTTATTTGGATATAAAATGTTATTGTATATTTAATATATATAAATCGAGGCGGTTCTGTA